GTTTCAGACCGGGACATGGAACTGAGACGGTCTTGGTCGCCTTAGTGGATGATCTGCGCCGGGAGCTAGACAGGGGGAGTGTGTCCCTGTTGGTGCTCCTGGACCTCTCAGCGGCCTTCGATACCGTCGACCACGGTATCCTTCTGGGGCGCCTTGCGGAAATGGGCCTCGGGGGCACTGTTCTGCAGTGGCTCCAGTCATTTCTGGAGGGTCGCACCCAGAAGGTGTTATTGGGGGACACCTGTTCAACGCCACAGCCTTTGACTTGTGGGGTTCCACAGGGCTCTATACTGTCCCCCATGCTGTTTAATATCTACATGAAGCCGCTGGGTGAGATCATCCGGAGTTTCGGGGTGCGGTGTCATCTGTACGCAGATGATGTCCAACTCTGTCACTCCTTCCCACCTGCTACTAAGGAGGCTGTCGAGGTCCTGAACCGGTGCCTGGCCGCTGTAATGGTCTGGATGAGGGCGAACAAATTGAAATTAAATCCAGACAAGGCAGAGGTACTCCTGGTCAGTCGCAAGGCCGAACAGGGTATAGGGTTACAGCCTGTGCTGGATGGGGTCGCACTCCCCTTGAAGGCGCAGGTTCGCAGCTTGGGTGTAACCCTGGATTCATCGTTGAGCCTGGATCCCCAGGTTTCAGCGGTGACCAGGGGAGCATTTGCACAGCTCAGGCTCGTGCGCCAGCTGCGCCCGTACCTCGGGAAGTCTGACTTGGCCACGGTAGTACACACTCTGGTCACATCCCGCCTTGACTACTGCAACGCTCTCTACGTGGGGCTGCCCTTGAAGACGGCCCGGAAGCTCCAGCTAGTCCAGCGCGCGGCAGCCATGTTACTAACAGGAGCGGGACGCAGGGAGCACACAACGCCCTTGTTGTACCAGCTCCACTGGCTGCCGATCTGCTACCGGGCCCAATTCAAGGTGCTGGTGTTGGCCTACAAAGCCCTAAACGATTCCGGCCCAAAATACCTGTCTGACCGCATCTCGGCCTATGAGCCCACGAGGACTTTGAGATCGTCTGGGGAGGCCCTTCTCTCGATCCCGCCTGCCTCACAGGCACGCCTGGCGGGGACGAGGGATAGGGCCTTCTCGGTGGTGGCCCCCCGGCTGTGGAACACCCTCCCTGTAGACATCAGACAGGCGCCCTCCCTTATGACATTCCGCAAGAGACTAAAGATGTGGTTGTTTGAGAAGGCGTTTGACTAAGTGCTACAACAATTGGCAATGATGATTGGAACGGAATATGGATAACGAGATTGGATTGTGATTCTATGATGAGACGTCGCGAATGATTTAGTGTAATTGTATTATTGATAGTGATGTTGTTATTGTTGTTTGTGATATTGCCTTTATTGTAAATTGTTTTTTATATGTTGTACACCGCCGTGAGTTGCCCTAGGGCTGAGAACGGCGGTCTACAAGTGCAGTAAATTAAAAAAAAATACTCCAGATTCAGTCATGGGAATTTCAAACCAATTCGTAAAAGTATAAAAGAAAACAATGAGTTATTCCATTACAAACCTTATACCACAGCATGAAATGTTGCCTTGTCCTAGCATAACTTTAGCATATGCTAGATTCGAGTTTGTACCTAGGGTAGTGCTTTATCAACATAACTGCAGTATATGCTGTGAACTATAGTTGTAATGTAAATTGCAGTTATTGGAAATCTGGAATTTTCCTCCCAAACACAGGGCATTATCACACCATGCTGATATCATAGCAAGGCATTATTATTATTATTATTATTATTAACTTTATTTGTACCCCGCTAGCATCTCCCGAAGGACTCGATGCGGCTTTACTATTAATATTATCGTGTTGCTGCTCTCCTAGTATTGTCGCACTGTAGCGTTGTTGAAAATACTTGAAACAATGCCCCTCTTTCCTGCAGCAATTCAGTAGCCATTCTGGATGTGGATGCCTCATAGCCCTTTCTTCTGTGAATGATCCATTAGTAGGCATGGTGGGGTGTAGCCAGGTTGCCCCTCCTTCAAGGGGAAGGATAAGCCCCAGAGCACTTTTTGTTCTTGTACAAGAAAAATAACTTTTCTTGTATGTTTAAACCCCTCTTAATCCACTCTTCAGGCTGTTCTGTTGTTTGTCTGTTATAGTGTCATAATTAATATAACACATATAGCATAATGTTTGACTTTGTTATAACCAGTTACTATGCTATAAGGAGGGCAGAACTGGCAGTGTCAAAAACATGGCAGTCTCTTTTCTCTCTGTAGGAGAAAGTAATAAAATGGCAAGGGATGGCATGGCCATTTTATTTTCTCATGTCCCTTTTCTAATGAAAGAGATCTTCTGATAAAAGATTTTGGCGATTGCAGAGGGTTTTACAATGTCGTCATATTGTCATGACACCACCTTTGTGTTACTGTGCTATTATGTCTATATTGAAAAAATAGAAAAACTAATCATGAAGCTAGGGGCGAGTACAGGAGTTAGTAATGAAACCATTAATGTAGATGAAATAAATGTGCAAATAGCACTGTTAACGTGGCAAGGGTGCAATAGAGAGTGCCAGTATTTGCTACCCCGAAGAAGCAGGTTTCATTTGGAACAATGTAGCACAAAAGATGTAGTGTGATAAGGCTCTCAGGATTTTTTTTTATTCTGAGCTCTTTTGAAACATGCCACAACCGTGTGATATCAATTAGAAATACAAAATCTGATGCTTTTGCTTATCCATTCCAATGTACCTTCAGTGCCCCTATTTCCTGCCTGCTAGTGTATCTGGTTTACAGCCCCAGTGGCCACCTTGAACTGGAGAATGGGCTGTCTTGTTCCTCCCCTTGTACCCATTGGGCATAGTTGTCATAGCTTTTATGGGCTATTGATGTCTTCAGTGCTCAGGAAAAACTTCACTTCCCAATGCTTCTGTTGCCTGGTCCACAGCCATAACAGCATGCCAACCTGGAGAGGGGCAAAAAAAATCCTTTTAAAAATCCATCCCATTGTTGGACCAGAAAGTAAAAAAGTGAACGAGAAAGGGAGGGGGGTTTAAATTCTCCAGCTTGAACTAAAATTTTGCAGGCTGTAATATTTGTCTTCCCTTTGAGAGGAACACTACAAACTACCAAAATTTGTATATGAGCCAGGAAATGTTGATTTTGGCACATTACTAGTGTTTTACCCCAGTACTCTAGTTTCAGCTATTTGAAATGTAGGATTTTAACCTAATTAAGCCACGCTGAAATGAATGGAGCTTTTTAATATATATTATGTGTTTGACACCAAAAGAATGAGAGGATGAATTTGTGACAAAAGTGGTTTACAATCAAACCATACATATAAGGGAAACCACAAATGAAGGATTGGATGGCAAAATTGAAATGGGGTATAATGGTTAGATAACAAAAGCTGTAGCACAGAAAGGCTTATGGTTATATACTTGCTTGTCAGACCAAGACAAACTATGGCATTGAATCCTTTTTTAAAATTGCATGTATGCAGGTACTATAAGCCACATGCATACTAGAATTTGTGATACTGGAGTGGCCTCTAGTTGCCCATCCACGTGTATAGTAATGATCTCTTATCCAAAAGACTCTCATAGTATGAGTTCAGTCTTTCTCTACCCAGATAATTATTGGAAGAATCATGTCCCACTAGGAAGAGCAGATTTTCAAAACGAGATCCTCATTAGTGTTATAACTGCATGTTTTCCCTGTAACTATAGTGCCAATAAGTTTGAATACTTTTTGAAGCTGTTTCAGTAGTTGCCCAAGTTGTGTCCACTGAGAATCCTCCCTTCCCAATTGCACCTCTAGCCTCCAGGAATGGTTCCCCGTGAGTACAATATTCTTTTGTGAATGTTCTCTGTCTGTCTCCATGTTCTCCCTGGTTTCAGAATATTGTACTTAACATGGATGCCAAGAGTGTTTGGTATGTCACAGAGGGCACATTTTCTGACAATGCGTGTGTGATTCAGGACATAGTTGATCTGATGCTAAATTTTTCTGCAAAGTGGAAACTCAGAATGGTTTCCCATGTTGCTTAGGAAGTAGCTTAATGCCTGTTCATGGACCATTGTCAATGTAGAGGCAGGAGGTTTGGTTGGTACTTATTTGTATAATCCTGTTTCTGACCTACAAATAGGTAACAACCAAACCTCCTAGCTTTCAATTACCAATTGTCAGTTTCATGTCACTGGAAGTCTTTTCAGACAAGTTGCAGAAGTTGTCTTGAAAGCAAAAAAAATATCAAAAATTGGGGAAAAAAATCTTCTTTAGGACAATTATAGTGGTTAGTATTTTGCTATTTGTGCATCAAACTGAGGATGAGCCAGAAAGGCTATGTCTGAGACTTTATGGTTTAAATAACCCTGGCCTGCTTGTAATTTGAAATACAGTTTATTTCTGTCCTTGGTACAGTATGTACTATATGTATTACGCTCTGTGCTATACTACGAGTTGCACCTGTTCTGACATAAGTAGAAGACATTATTATAGCTGTCGAGGATAGAAGATTCCTCTGTGTGTGTGTGTTTGGGGGAAGTGAACAGTGAAAGAATGGCCTTCTCTTAATTTGTTTACTGGCAGCCTCTTCCAGAGCCTCCTTCGGCGGCGAGATCAGTTTTCCCTGCCCCACTATTGTCTGGGGAAATCTATCTTCAGGAGTTGCTTTCTTAAAAAGATCTCATGCCAAGTAATCAGTGGGCTTTGTGTCGTTTGCCTGTCAAAAGAGATATGTTTACACCTTCCATGCGTGCGTTAAAAAGCTCTCAGATTACAAAAGCAAGAGTGGCGGGTGCCTTCCAGCCCTCCCTGCTCATAGGCACAAGGGGGGGGGAGGTATGTATTTATGATAATTGCGTGGACTGCTTGGAACAATGCATTCCAACATCCTGTAACATAAATAAGGAAGGTGGGGCTAGCTGACACTGCACGGCTTGTTTGCCAGCAGTCCTGATCTTCCACTCTATGGCTATCTATATCTGTCCCCTTGCCATTACACAGCCACAGCCTGGCAGCGCTGAACCTGTTGCTGCATTAGCCGAGTTGTCTTTTGCTCTTAGATAGGGGAAGGAGGGTTGTCTGCTGTCTGGTAGGAGGGCTTTGTCTGTGTGTGCCTTTCTCTCTGTCTCTCTCTCTCTCTCTCTCTGTCTCTGTCTCACACTCTCGCTTGCACTCCCTCTCTCTCTCTTGCTCTCTCTCTCTCTCCCTTTCCCGTCTCTGTGGTTTGTAAGGTAGGTTGCAGTGTGTGTATATACACAACATCAAGAGCAGGAAAATGGACTCATTAGGGAGGCAGGCAGTCATTACCATTCACACTGCACTTCCAGGGAGGCAGCGACTATGAGGAGACAAACTGAGGACTGGGGAGCAAGGTAGGCCAGCCAACTTTTATAAAAAAGAGGGAGAAAATGTTGCTTTCCTCCCCCCCACTATCCTCTCCCCCCTTTCTTTCCCACTTGTCTATTATCCCCCCTCCTCTCTGGCTTTTTAAATTTTATTTTAGAGGATGTAAGTTTGTGAAACAGATGTGTGAGCTTAAATTTGGAACATCTCTAGGCCTCCCCCCTCAACAAATGCACTCTCCCCACTTATTTAAGGATATACAGTCCTTTCATAATAATTCCCTTGAAATACTTTTTTATTTTAAATCAGTGCAGGATACAAATATGTTTGTTTTTCCAACATGAGTTCCAAGTAAATCAATATCTTTCACTCCTTTGAAACAACAATCTCCGTATGTTTAGTGACTCTCTGCTTTTCTTTCTTTCTGTTTATGCCATTCCATCTGTCTGTCCATATATCATGTTCTTGTTTACTGCTGAATGTTTTTGTTGTTGTTGAGGTTTTTTTTTGTGAGTCGTATTTGCCAATGAGTTTTAACTATATTGAAGCCTGTGACCAGAGATTACAATGACTGCTCTTTGTTTGATATCTGTTGTAAGACCATATTTACTGTATATGAAAACAAATTACAACCTGGAAAAGAGGCTTCTCTATTCTGAAAGGGGTTTTTCAAAACATAATTTTATTATGGGAGTGGTTGTTCATGAAGCTTTTATTTGCACATGTTTGTGCCTCAGCCGATTCTATCAAAAATATTTTGAGCTGCCAGCTTCTTGGAGGGACAAAACAGGGAGGACTGTCGCTTTTATTATTATCCGTCATTATACTTGAAGGATCTCACTTGAGGAATATGAATTCAAACTTTTGGTAAAGGAGTTGCTATCCCTGATTTCTCCCCCCTCTCCATCCCAATACACACAACTCTTCCCAGCACACTATCTTCCTTGACGGTGCTCTCCTTCTGTCTTGATGCAGGGAGGTGATACCTTTTACAAACCAGCCAAATATCCTGAGACATATGACTCTTTCTTTCATCGCAATTTATATTTGCTGTTTCAGACACTGGAGATATTTGTGAAAATATTTTTTATTTTGCTAAGGGAGATGCTACGATGCATGCCGTAACCCATTTCAAATTGTCTGAAGATCTTTTAAAGCCAGTTCTCTTTCTCTCCCCACCTCCCAGGGATTGTAAAGGCTGTTTAAACTGATCCATTTAGAAGGGCTTTTAAACTTGAACTTATGTCAGGGCTGCCACAGAGTAAAACTCTGCTGGCTATATTAAAAGAGGAGGAGAAAAAAGTGGAAGGGAGTTACATAAAACGTTCAGTAGAAGCCATGAGTAATTACTACCTATAGAAAATGGATTCTAATCAGTGGAGATCTTTCAACAGTAACAATCCATTAAAAAAACAAGATTATTAAATAACAAGGGAGAACCTTTATTTTAAATTGCATTATGCCTTTCTTGATAACACAAAGGAGGCCTTAAAGCTATTTGCCCAACCTACCTAGCACTGTAGAAGAGATTGTTGACATCATTCATTTAATTCATTCTTTCAGGATGATAAAAAGTTTTCGATGTTATCAGTACGAGGCACTGAAAAAACTGCAACACAGTAGGCTCTTTCTTTCTTTCTTTCTTTCTTTCTTTCTTTCTTTCTTTCTTTCTTTCTTTCTTTCTTTCTTATGTTTAAGCTTTCCACCTCAGCTGAGGCTACCTCTTGCTGGACAAGCCAAATTAATTTAAACTAGAGCAACAAATGATTCAGTAAACTTGGCAGATAGATCTCATTTTTGTGAGATTACATTGTTTCTAACCCCTAAATTTTAATCACAGCAAACTTGGAAGAAAGTTCCTTTGAAAGTTGTTTGGTTTCCTTCAAAGTAAACATTTTAGGATTGGAGTTTTCTGCAGCACCCCTCCCTCCCTCCAGACTATTTTACTTCGTACGTACTGTAATTCAGCTGTCCTTGTTCTTGCCCCACTTAACTTTCAAGAGAATCTCATCAAGAATTGTTTGTAAATTGGAATGTATACTTCCATTTGAAAATACATGAACTGAACATATGGATGTATAGTCTTAAAAGTATATGTTATTGTTCTGTTATGAATCTGAAATTTTGAAAAATTGGTCTTTTTGAAGGGAAAGTGAATATTAGTTGGATCCTCAGAAAGGAAAGCTATTTAGTGAACAACTTAGTGGGCTGCAACAACAGAATTTAGGAGCCATTGATTCACCCCTTGGGAGGGATATGCATTTTCAAACACCTGATGCTTGCCTTTGAACCATAGATCCATGGTATCTTACAGCATAGCTCTTTTACTTGTGGGAATTCTTGTAAGCCTTTAATTTTATTTAAATGTAAGGTTTACAGACTTTTGTGGGATGATAATATGCCATACCAGCTGTTGTACATCTTCTTTTTTTAAAATATGATGAAAATATATTGCTTAATTTCATGAAAGCCTCGGGCAAGCAGAATATCACATTGCAGGAAGCAAAGCTGTCTGTGAAATACTTTTGCTCTTTTCTCAGTCAGAAGAAGACTGCTGATTTATTTTAAAGAGAGAGAGTTCTACTGAAAATATTTAATTTTTTACATGAATCATATGCATGCAAAATGCCTTAATCAAAAGAGCAAAGTTTGGTGTTAACTTGGTAGTGAGGAGCAGAAAGTAAACTTCGGTTCATAAGTCGGAACCATTTTGGTGAGAGCAATAATGAGAAGTATCGCATTAGAGCCAACATTGCAGGGCGCAACGTTGCACATATCTCGCAGTTTTTCTGAGTCCAATTCAATTTAAAAGTGGAACATCCTATGGTAGGTTTGGTTCGCTCATGGTATGCTTTATTTTAGTATTGGAACAGACAGTTATCTAACACACCCACTTGAGGAAGTGCTCTGAAGTAGTTATTTCATGCTTTGCCATGCCCTGTAGCTAAAACAGTTTTAACTGGCTCGTGAAGGTGTATTCTTCCTTTAACTCCTTTGACAGTTTAGTGAGACTCTCCTTTGAAAAGGATACTGAAGAGATACTGAGCAGTCCACTGGAGAAACTTCCACTAAAAGTTTCTTTCAGGAGCCCTGCATTTGGCTTTCAGGATCCTGACTCCAAGTTCACTGACTTCTTTGGACTTTAGCTTAAGACTTTAGGGAGAAGAGGAAAATCAATTCTATTTATTTTTGATTTGATCAAATGTATCACTTTTCTGATCTGATTTTATGATTGATTACAGCTATTTTAATCTCTTACTATTTTTTTCCATGTTCTCTGAGTAAATAAGCTAGGTAGCATTAAAATGAGCAATAGAAATGGGAATTTTAAAGGCCCCTTTATTTTCTGTTTTTAAGAGGGTTTATTCACTTTAAAATAATCTTATCACATCTTTATATTTCATCAGTCATTATTAGCTTTTGAGGACTGTTTCCATCAATATTATTTATAGAAATAAATAAGTACAAAATGACTGGTTCTGATTCGTTTTATGGTTGTGCAATTTTATTGGACTTACTTTACGGTAATGGAGCAAGGATAATTCCCATTGTGAGGGACTCAAGCAACTGACAATTGCTGTTTTATTTTTAGTTATTTAACTTTATTTTAAAAATATAAACACTTTTACCCCTTCTTTTTTTAGACAGCAGCTCCTCTCTCTGCATAGACTTGGCAATGTAAATCCTGCAGCAACAGAGAAATTGCTAGTAAACAAAAGTGAAACTGGCTTCTTATAAAAAAATTGTCGAGCATATGAGATATACACAAAAATAAATTACTACCTATATGTGTGTCTGTAGATATATAATTAATAACCTTACCTTCTTCTTCCCAACACAGTAAGTTTTTCTTGGAGAATAGTGTTGTTGTGGTAGGAAGAGTCACATTTTCAGGCTTTTTGCTGTATTTACTAATTTCACACTGAAGGAAAAGTTTGTTTCTTTTCAGGCTTGGAAGCAATTCAAGTTAATTGCAACATGGGTTATTTTTGGTATTCTGAATACTTATGCTAAACTAATGTTACGGCATGTATATATGTGTGTGTGTGTGTGTGTGTGTGTGTGTGTGTATATATATATTCCCCTCTTCAAACCTTATCCTTGAGTTCCTTTAGTGTAATTGAGTCTCAGCCTCTAAACACTTTATTTGAAGTGTTTGCTTTTGCTCCGATTCTAAAAAAGATGTTAAGAATTAAGACTTATGTGGGGGAAAATATTCATATAGTTTCCTTAGGTTTTTGAATTCAGCTCAGAATAGGTAAATGGAATTCAGACATGGATGGCCATATAAAGTGTTTATTAGACAAAGAGAGAGAATAACTTCCTTGCAGCTTTTTGATGGACATAGCTATGACGGGGGTAGCTTCAGAAGAAAATGGGTATAAACAAGAATACCAATAAAAGCCAATAGTATGGATCCTGTTATATTTCATCGGTATGGCATCTGCTGTTTATAAAATGAAATTAAAAATTACCATTAACTAATTTTACAGCTTTGATTAAATGAAACTGGGTTGCGGGCAGTCTCAAGCCTTTTCTAATTGATTTGTATTGGCCCTCTCACTAAATAGTGAGCCGTAAACACTATTTTTTTAAGGGTGGGAACTTCTATTGCTGCTGCATCTTCTGTACTTGTTCTGTAAATATTATAGTTTGTTAAACTGGCACTCTCAATATCAAAAGAATGTTCCGATTTAGTAACATTTTATTGCCACGTGTACGAGTAAGGAGATTATGAAATCAGTTTCTACTTTACCCTGGTGAATGCCCTATTCAGAATTGAGTTCCAGTTACTTTATCTGAATTTTGAAAAATTAACTAACATGATTCATGTGAACGGCATGTTAATATGAAAATATTAACCAGTACCTTGGACCCAGTCTCTGAAGTGCTTTAAATCTTGAAGCTATTGTAATTTTGGAGATATTTTGGAGATATTGCAAAGATATTGACAACCTTGCTGCACGATCATTTCACACTTCTCCATGAAAATTCTTGCCTCCCATCCATGGCCCATTGTAGCCATGCT